TGGGGTTCAAGGAGACGGAAGCAGAGACATAAAAAGCAGCTGTAAAAGGCGGCCCTGTCCAGGAAACACACAGCCAGGCAGACGATCAATTTTGAATGATTAAAAGAGAAGATAAAGTTTAAAATGTTCATGCTTTGTTCCGATGCATTTTAAATGGCAGTTTTTGGCGACAAATGTAGGCCTACAATATTATGTTAAAAACGTCAGCCACAGCCCTCAACATAATGACGTCATGTGTTTTCCAACCCAGCCAGCCCCCCTCGCTTGAAACAGCTTCCAGCGCGCCTGGGTGTACCCACTATGAAGAGAAAAAAGAGAAATAAAAGAGCAATGTTTGATGAAGCTTAAACTGTTGTTAATTCAGAAAGGCTACTGGGGCAAAGCAGTCCAAACAATAATCAGCTTTAAAGATTTCTCCACTAGTTCCCAAACTTAAGGCTACTCCATTGATTTATGTCTTTCATTACTGTACAAACTAATTAATCCAGCTGTGTTTGGCTATTGTTACTGTGGTTGCTGAGGCCACACACACCTGAATTAAACAGTTAGTCCTGTAACAAAAGACGGGCAATAACATTGCTGCCATCTGATGGCCATTTCTGTCTTATTGAGGAATTGCATCCCCTGCTTTTTTCCAGAAATATAGATTTGTAGCTGATGTTTCAATTTCTACCTGCTTCCACATGTGTGCTGAGCTACCAGTGTGAATTTCATGTGTGTGGGACAATCTTTAAGTTAAAAACAAGGGGGATGCATTTTTTGGCAGGTCCTTGCCAAAAATTGCATCCCCTGCTTTTTTCCAGAAATATAGATTTGTAGCTGATGTTTCAATTTCTACTTGCTTCCACATGTGTGCTGAGGTACCAGTGTGAATTTCATGTGTGTGGGACAATTTTTAAGTTGAAAACAAGGGGGATGCATTTTTTGGCAGGTCCTTGCCAAAAATTGCATCCCCTGCTTTTTTCCAGAAACATAGATTTGTAGCTGATGTTTCAATTTCTACCTGCTTCCACATGTGTGCTGAGGTACCAGTGTGAATTTCATGTGTGTGGGACAATTTTTAAGTTAAAAACAAGGGGGATGCATTTTTTGGCAGGTCCTTGCCAAAAATTGCATCCCCTGCTTTTTTCCAGAAATATAGATTTGTAGCTGATGTTTCAATTTCTACCTGCTTCCACATGTGTGCTGAGGTACCAGTGTGAATTTCATGTGTGTGGGACAATCTTTAAGTTAAAAACAAGGGGGATGCATTCTTTGGCAGGTCCTTGCCAAAAATTGCATCCCCTGCTTTTTTCCAGAAATATAGATTTGTAGCTGATGTTTCAATTTCTACCTGCTTCCACATGTGTGCTGAGGTACCAGTGTGAATTTCATGTGTGTGGGACAATCTTTAAGTTAAAAACAAGGGGGATGCATTCTTTGGCAGGTCCTTGCAAAAAATTGCATCCCCTGCTTTTTTCCAGAAATATAGATTTGTAGCTGATGTTTCAATTTCTACATGCTTCCACATGTGTGCTGAGGTACCAGTGTGAATTTCATGTGTGTGGGACAATTTTTAAGTTAAAAACAAGGGGGATGCATTTTTCGGCAGGTCCTTGCCAAAAATTGCATCCCCTGCTTTTTTCCAGAAATATAGATTTGTAGCTGATGTTTCAATTTCTACCTGCTTCCACATGTGTGCTGAGGTACCAGTGTGAATTTCATGTGTGTGGGACAATCTTTAAGTTAAAAACAAGGGGGATGCATTTTTTGGCAGGTCCTTGCCAAAAATTGCATCCCCTGCTTTTTTCCAGAAATATAGATTTGTAGCTGATGTTTCAATTTCTACTTGCTTCCACATGTGTGCTGAGGTACCAGTGTGAATTTCATGTGTGTGGGACAATTTTTAAGTTAAAAACAAGGGGGATGCATTTTTTGGCAGGTCCTTGCCAAAAATTGCATCCCCTGCTTTTTTCCAGAAACATAGATTTGTAGCTGATGTTTCAATTTCTACCTGCTTCCACATGTGTGCTGAGGTACCAGTGTGAATTTCATGTGTGTGGGACAATTTTTAAGTTAAAAACAAGGGGGATGCATTTTTTGGCAGGTCCTTGCCAAAAATTGCATCCCCTGCTTTTTTCCAGAAATATAGATTTGTAGCTGATGTTTCAATTTCTACCTGCTTCCACATGTGTGCTGAGGTACCAGTGTGAATTTCATGCGTGTGGGACAATCTTTAAGTTAAAAACAAGGGGGATGCATTCTTTGGCAGGTCCTTGCCAAAAATTGCATCCCCTGCTTTTTTCCAGAAACATAGATTTGTAGCTGATGTTTCAATTTCTACCTGCTTCCACATGTGTGCTGAGGTACCAGTGTGAATTTCATGTGTGTGGGACATTTTTTAAGTTTAAAACAAGGGGGATGCATTTTTTGGCAGGTCCTTGCCAAAAATTGCATCCCCTGCTTTTTTCCAGAAATATAGATTTGTAGCTGATGTTTCAATTTCTACCTGCTTCCACATGTGTGCTGAGCTACCAGTGTGAATTTCATGTGTGTGGGACAATCTTTAAGTTAAAAACAAGGGGGATGCATTCTTTGGCAGGTCCTTGCAAAAAATTGCATCCCCTGCTTTTTTCCAGAAACATAGATTTGTAGCTGATGTTTCAATTTCTACCTGCTTCCACATGTGTGCTGAGGTACCAGTGTGAATTTCATGTGTGTGGGACAATTTTTAAGTTAAAAACAAGGGGGATGCATTTTTTGGCAGGTCCTTGCCAAAAATTGCATCCCCTGCTTTTATCCAGAAATATACACTTCTAGCTGATGTGACAAATTCTACCTGCTTCCACATGTGTGCTGAGCTACCAGTGTGAATTTCATGTGTGTGGGACAATCTTTAAGTTAAAAACAAGGGGGATGCATTTTTTGGCAGGTCCTTGCCAAAAATTGCATCCCCTGCTTTTTTCCAGAAATATAGATTTGTAGCTGATGTTTCAATTTCTACCTGCTTCCACATGTGTGCTGAGGTACCAGTGTGAATTTCATGTGTGTGGGACAATCTTTAAGTTAAAAACAAGGGGGATGCATTTTTTGGCAGGTCCTTAGGTTAAAAACAAGGGGGATGCATTTTTTGGCAGGTCCTTGGGTTAAAAACAAGGGGGATGCATTTTTTGGCAGGTCCTTAGGTTAAAAACAAGGGGGATGCATTTTTTGGCAGGTCCTTAGGTTAAAAACAAGGGGGATGCATTTTTTGGCAGGTCCTTGCCAAAAATTGCATCCCCTGCTTTTTTCCAGAAACATAGATTTGTAGCTGATGTTTCAATTTCTACCTGCTTCCACATGTGTGCTGAGGTACCAGTGTGAATTTCATGTGTGTGGGACAATTTTTAAGTTAAAAACAAGGGGGATGCATTTTTTGGCAGGTCCTTGCCAAAAATTGCATCCCCTGCTTTTTTCCAGAAACATAGATTTGTAGCTGATGTTTCAATTTCTACCTGCTTCCACATGTGTGCTGAGGTACCAGTGTGAATTTCATGTGTGTGGGACAATTTTTAAGTTAAAAACAAGGGGGATGCATTTTTTGGCAGGTCCTTGCCAAAAATTGCATCCCCTGCTTTTTTCCAGAAATATAGATTTGTAGCTGATGTTTCAATTTCTACCTGCTTCCACATGTGTGCTGAGGTACCAGTGTGAATTTCATGTGTGTGGGACAATTTCTAAGTTAAAAACAAGGGGGATGCATTTTTTGGCAGGTCCTTGCCAAAAATTCCATCCCCTGCTATCTCAGAGGAGTTGACACTTGTACATCTGTATTCCTGTATATTCATCAGTAATTAAGTACAAGGATCAGCAAATGTAAATACTGCCCTGTAAAACAATGACAGTGCAATTGTTGCTTCATATGATCTGAAGCCCCATTTGGAGCTTTTAAACAGGATTTTGAAAAACTTTGATAAATTGCTGCTGTAATATTATAGATTTTTTAGAATAAAAAGCTAGCAGATGTGCATAAACAAACAAAAAAAAATACAATACAGTTCAGTAAAAATACAGTTCTGTTTTATGCCTCATTCTTGTAAGTTTAAAATGTTCCAATGCTCCTGAATGCACCATAGCTTTCTGACGCGCAGCGAACGCAACTCACTGGTCTGTGAACGCTGTGCTTTGTAGGTGCGCGTTTGATTTTCCACTTAAGAGAAAGCTTTGCAAACTCAAAACTCACTTCGGCTATCACGGTTTAGTGTTGTGTGTAAATAGCAAGAGACCACAACAAATAAATCAGCCGTACCATGGTCAAAATCTTTGGATTTAATGTTGTTCAAAAAATCCGTACTTTTGTATATTAATCTGCCAAATAACCACAACTTTTTTCCCACGAGAGGTATTTTTAAACGTTTTTATATCATTAATATAAGAACCTAAGCTCCATTGAACATATTTTAATCCGTTTTCCTCGTCGATATGCAGTTCAACAGAGCGAGGCGCGCTCCCGCGACTGGGGATGCATATTTCGGCAGGCATGCACTTTTGGGCATAACACCGGATCCAGTGGGAATGTTCACAGCAACGGAGCCACCTGCTGACGTCAGGAGTGCGTCCTCCAACAGCCAATCAACACTGATTATTATTATTTGAATGTGTTTATGTTACTGTGTACTGGTTCGTAATTTCAGTTTGCAAGCCTGCCTGAAGAAGAGTAAGTGAACTCGAAACGTTGCGACGGCTTGCTGCTTTTTTCCTGTATGTTTAGCTTTAATAAAAGTGGCGACCGGCAGTAAAGCTGATCCAAACAGCGTCCTTCTTTCTTATTTAAGAATGATTTATTTTTTTTATTTTTAATTACGAACCATAGTTAGCTACACAGTATAGCTTAGCACCCAGCTCCAGACTGATCAACGGTGTGTAACCCAGGGTGAAAACTGCCCTTAGTCCCGCCTTACTGCCCCATTGGTTAGAGTGACAGTCAGTCACACAGTGCATGCAGCCAATTGACACACCTGAGGCAATTATTTAGGCTTGCCCCAGCTTTCCCCAGTCAGATGTGAGGGGGAGAGCTGGAGACAAAGGAGCTACAGGTTGGTGTTCCCAAACAATCAGTTTATCTCTTTGTTTGTAATGCACTGTTTAACCTCACAATATAAAAATCATGTAGATCCGAGAAATCCAGTGAGTTTGGAGCCTTGGAGCTGCCATACTCTCATCTATTATTGGAATTGGTGAGTAGAGAACACAATGTTGTTTGTTGTTTTAGCATGTTGGTGGCAGCAAATGCTAAGTGTGATCATCAATTGTTGTAATCTAACTTTAAGATAATGAGATAAAGGTTCTTTATTTGGTCTGATAGATTAGATATTGCATTTATTTCTGTGTGAAACTGGAAAAGTCTAGTTAACTAGCCGGCTGGAAATTTACTGGTCCTGTTTATTTTAATACAGGCCAGGTGATCCCTTTTTAGGGAAAAAGATGGCGAGCTTCTGAAAACTGGCTGGAGCCAGGAGAGCCTTAAGAATCACTCCACACTGGACTGGTCTGTATCATCCCCCCCCCTCCGTCTCACCACTCAGGCATACACTCCATTATTCACCTCTTCATCCGAAACAACTTGCGCTGGGACATTTTTCAACTTAAATATCTGGATAATCCAACCATGGATTTCTGAATGTGTGTCGGGTCAGACTCTGGACTGATCAGTGGGGAATTTAAGACCAGTTGTGCACAAACAAAAGGATTGCCACAGTACTGTGTATATATTTTGTATTTATTTTGGGTTCTATGTATGTTGTCTTGTATTGTTTACTTTAAATTTGTCTATTACATGGTATTGAAAGCAGTTATTTTGTGTCGTTTTATTGATTACTGACAACGGCTCCAGTAGACGAATTCTAGTCTTCTGATTTTTGTTGGTTGTATTACAGAGTGCAGTAAAGAGAGGTGTTTTGGAGAAGGACCTGGATGCACGACTGTTGACCCAATTCTGCAGAGGGTGTTGGGACAACAATCTAATCTCAGAACTTCAACTTAAACAGAGAAAAAATAATCCACCATCATTTGCTGAGCTTTTGTTGTTACTTAGAACTGAAGAGGACAGGGAAGCAGCAAAGACCTTGAGGATGAAGCATCATTTGGGAACCACTAAACAGAAGGTTGCGTCTCAGGTCCAGTTTGCACATACTGATCAGGAAACTAACTTTTGTGTTGCTCTGAATAACATGACTAAACAGCTTTCACAGCAGATGGCTGCAATACTGCAGCAGCTCATTGCTTTAACAGCAGGTCAAATGGGCACTAAGCTACCTTTTGCTGGAAGAGTTACTTCAAAGCCTAGTGTGAAAAAGACTGTTAAAGATGTAAAATTCAGCATGTCTAGCTCTAATCCTGGGTTTTGTTTCCGTTGTGGGGAGGATAGCCATATTGAGCCTCGATGTGATAATGAGCCCAATTCAGCATTGGTCAGTGCAAAGCGGAAAATATTTTATGACAAACAGAAGTGACAGGGACAAAATCCCTCTCCTACAGCACATTTAAACTAGTTCCAGTTCCTGTTGAGGGACCAACAGGAACTGAGCTGGACCAACTTTGTCCTACAGAGAGAGAGTCTGTTAAGTGTGCAAAGATGCAGACAAAAACCAAAATTAACTTACCAAAAGGATTAATCGGATCCAGATGTACAGCAGAAGTCAATATTGCTGGCCACAGCTCTCAATGTCTTCTAGATACCGGCTCTCAAGTCACTACAATTCCAGTTTCTTTCTTCAATGAGAATCTCTCAGATCATCCAGTGCATTCATTAAATAACCTACTTCATGTTGAAGGGGCTGCAGGTCAACAAGTTCCATATTTGGGTTATGTTGAAATACCAATAACTTTTCCAAAAGACTTTATTGGGAGTGAACTAACATTTGAAACACTTGCTTTGGTTGTTCCTGATGTGAGACCTGGATTTCCAGCTTCAGTACTAATTGGCATGAATACACTTGAAATTCTCTATGAAAAGTTTCACATTCCAACCTACCTCATACGGGTTTAAAACAGTTCTGTATCAGTTAATGCATCAGCAGAACTGTGGCAATCATTTGGGTGTACTCCTGTACTTATTCCAGCTGGTTGCACAATGGTGGTCGAGGGTCATGCCAAGCTTTCTTCTACAGCCAGTCAGTGTGCTGTTGTTCGGCACCCGGTTTGAGGCCTGCCGGGTTGCCTGGTTGTCAGTAGCTGTCTGGTTGCACTTCAAGCTGACTCACTCAATAAGGTTCAAGTTGCTGTTTCCAATGAAACAAAGCAAGTCATTTCCATACCAGCTTTAAGTATCATTGCTGAACTGGAAGCCTATGCAGGTATCATCTCAGAGCACCATGTGACCAACCACATGGCTGAGAAAACATCAATAGCATCTTTGAAAATCAATTTTGGTGAGTCTCCAATACCATCAGAATGGAAGGAAAGAATCATAACAAAGTTAAATGCTGTACCTGAAGTTTTTGCTCATCATGATTTAGATTTTGGATGTACCAAGTAAGTGAAACATCACATTAATCTTCATGATAATACTCCTTTCAAACATCGTGCGAGACCAATTCATCCACAAGATATAGAGGCTGTTCGCAAACACTTACGTAAACTTCTGGATGCTGGTGTTATCAGAGAATCTGAATCCCCTTTCTCATCTCCAATTGTTGTTAAGAAAAACAAATGGAGACATTCGACTGTGCATTGACTATCATAAACCTAATTTACAAACTGTCAAAGATGCATATGCTTTGCCCAACCTGGAAGAATCATTTACAGCTCTGAGGATCAAAGGGGTTTTCAGTGCTTGATCTGAAATCTGGTTATTATCAGATTGAAATGAATGAAGCAGATAAAGCCAAGACTGCTTTTGTTACTCCACTTGTGTTTTGGGAGTTTAACCGAATGCCTCAGGGGGTTACAAATGCACCATCAACCTTTCAAAGATTGATGGAGAAATGTAGGGGTGACCTGCATTTGAAAGAAGTATTGGTTTTTTTGGATGACTTTATCATATTCTCAAACAGTCTTGAAGAACATGAAAACCGTCTGCTGAGAGTTCTAAATCGTCTGAAAGAGTTTGGATTAAAACTTTCTTTGGAAAAATGTAAATTTTTCCAAACGTCTGTCAGATACTTGGGTCATATAGTTTCAGAAAAAGGTTTTGAGACAGACCCAGAAAAGATTTCCACAGTGAAATCCTGGCCAATTCCTACTAATTTGAAATCCTTAAGATCTTTTCTGGGATTTACTGGCTATTATAGACGTTTCATAAAAGGATACTCCACTATTGCCAAGCCTCTTAACAATTTGACCCGTGGGTACCCCCCAACTAATAAACCCTCAAGAGTACAATCTTCTAAGTGCCCACAGTTTGATCCAAAGCAACCTTTTGGTTCCAGGTCGATTCCTGAGTGTCAGCTAGCTTTTGATACCCTGATCGACAAACTTACTACTGCACCAGTCCTGGGGTTTGCTGATCCTGCACTACCTTACATCCTTCACACAGATGCCAGCACCACTGGACTGGGTGCTGCCCTATACCACCAACATGAGGGGAAGCTCAGGGTAATAGCTTATGCTAGTCAAGGGTTGTCAGCCAGCGAAAGTCGTTATCCAGCTCATAAACTTGAATTCTTAGCACTGAAGTGGAGTGTAACAGAAAAGTTTCAAGATTATTTGTATGGAGCGGATTTTATAGTTGTCACTGATAATAATCCACTTACTTACATCCTAACCTCAGCTAAGCTGGATGCTACCAGTCATTGTTGGCTGGCTGCACTTTCTACTTTCACCTTTAAGTTGCAGTATCGAGCAGGGAAACACAACCAGGATGCTGATGCACTCTCTCGTCGTCCCTTTGAAAATCCTGTCATAGATGAGGTTGCACATAAAGATCAGGAACTCATCTCTCAGTTTGCTCAACAACATCTTTTAGACAACAGCAACAATGAGAAGTCACCTGAAGTGATGGATGCAATCTGCCAAAGTCATCTGGTTTGGACCCAAGTTGAAAGTCTTTTGGTTGAATCACTCTCAGTCAGGGCAGATGTAATTCCTGTGGATTACTCTGAAGAGGCACATGGACTTCCTGTTGTTCCTGCAATGTCTCATTCTGACCTAAAAGATCATCAGAGAGCTGATCCTACTGTCAGGGAAGGTATCCATCAGTTGGAGTCAGGTGAAAAAATTCCCCCAACAGTCAGGAGTGAACTTCCAGAACTTCATCTTCTCAGAGAATTTACTAAACTTGAGATGATTGATGGCATTCTTTACAGGAAACGGCAAGAAAATGAGCAACATGTATATCAACTGGTCCTTCCAGCAGACCTCTGTGAATCTGTTCTTCATAGTCTTCACAATGACATGGGCCACCCGGGAATAGAGTGAACCCTGGATCTTGTTAGAGCTCAATTCTATTGGCCTAGAATGGCTATGTATGTGGAGCAGAAAATAAAAGCATGTGGACGTTGTGTTCGTCGAAAGACTCTGACAGAGAGAGCTGCTCCACTAATTAACATTCGGACTTCACGCCCACTGGAGCTCATTTGTATGGATTTTCTCAGTCTTGAACCTGATACCAGCAATACCAAAGACATTCTCGTGTTGACAGATCATTTCACCAAGTTTGCCATTGCCATTCCAACACCGAATCAAAAGGAAAGAACGGTCGCCAAATGTCTTTTGGACAATTTCATTATCTATTTTGGAATTCCAGAAAGACTACATACAGATCAAGGATCTGATTTTGAGTCCAAATTGATAACAGAGCTGTGTGCTATGACAGGAATTAAAAAGTGTCATACAACACCATACCATCCCAGAGGAAACCCTGTAGAAAGGTTTAATCGCACACTCTTAGCAATGTTGGGAACTATTGAACCAAAACAGAAGTCAAAATGGAAAGAATATGTTGAACCTCTCGTTCATGCGTACAATTGTACCAGAAATGAAGTGACAGGATATAGTCTTTATGAACTTATGTTTGGACGCTGTCCTCGACTTGATCTTGCTTTTGGTCTTCCTATCTGTGAAGAGAAATGTCAATCACATTCGCAGTATGTACAGAACCCGAAGTCACGGTTGAAGGAGAGTTATCAGATAGCATCAAAGAACTCTGCCAGAAGTGCTAAAAGAAACAAGACTCGGTTTGATCAGCGAGTTCTACCATCCAAGCTGGAAGTTGGAGACCGAGTACTTGTGCGGAATGTGAGACTCAGAGGTAAACACAAACTCTGTGATAAATGGGAGCAAGATGTATTTGTATTGGTGAAGTGTGCTGGGGATCTTCCAGTTTATACGGTGAAACCAGAGTGCAAAGATGGCCCATTACGCACTTTACACAGAGACCTTCTTCTTCCATGTGGTTTTCTCCCCATGACAGATGCTGAAAGACCAACTGAGACAGTTCCAGTCACAAAACCCCAGACACGTCTACACACCAAGAAATGTCAAGAATCTTCTGAGGACTCTGCAGAAGGTGAGAACAGTGAGCAAGAAGAGATTCCATTCTATCTAGTTCCACCTCCATTAGAATTTAAAATGGAGAAACCGCTCAGACAGTCATCACCTCCTGATGATGAAGAAAACTCTGTTGTCCCAACAGTTTCTCCAGTGGAAAAACAACCTGTTGAAATTCTTCCAGATTCTGAGAGTTTGAATTCAGTTTTTGAAGTGGAATCAATTGAACCAGAATCTAGTGTCAAAGAGCAACCTGATGTTTCTGCAGAACAAGTTCCACCTCATCCTGAAGACTTGCCTGATCCAGGCAGCCCGTTGGTGAAACTGTTCCTGATTCTGAAATTTCTTTGAACAGATCCCCAAACCTTGATGGCATAAATCAAATTAATGACATTTCTCTAAGACGCTCAACATGTCACAGAGTGGCGTCTAAACTGCTTCAATATACTACTTTAGGCAATCCGCTTATTTCAGTTGTTCAAACTTTATTGCACAGTTTGTCTGATGCTTTAGTTTTGACACCCACCACTTCCAGCAATGTTCACATTGTTTAATGTTTACATGTCATGGGACGTGCATGATTTAAAGGGGGGAGGGTGTAACCCAGGGTGAAAACTGCCCTTAGTCCCGCCTTACTGCCCCATTGGTTAGAGTGACAGTCAGTCACACAGTGCATGCAGCCAATTGACACACCTGAGGCAATTATTTAGGCTTGCTCCAGCTTTCCCCAGTCAGATGTGAGGGGGAGAGCTGGAGACAAAGGAGCTACAGGTTGGTGTTCCCAAACAATCAGTTTATCTCTTTGTTTGTAATGCACTGTTTAACCTCGCAATATAAAAATCATGTAGATCCGAGAAATCCAGTGAGTTTGGAGCCTTGGAGCTGCCATACTCTCATCTATTATTGGAATTGGTGAGTAGAGAACACAATGTTGTTTGTTGTTTTAGCATGTTGGTGGCAGCAAATGCTAAGTGTGATCATCAATTGTTGTAATCTAACTTTAAGATAATGAGATAAATGTTCTTTATTTGGTCTGATAGATTAGATATTGCATTTATTTCTGTGTGAAACTGGAAAAGTCTAGTTAACTAGCCGGCTGGAAATTTACTGGTCCTGTTTATTTTAATACAGGCCAGGTGATCCCTTTTTAGGGAAAAAGATGGCGAGCTTCTGAAAACTGGCTGGAGCCAGGAGAGCCTTAAGAATCACTCCACACTGGACTGGTCTGTATCATTTCCCCCCTCCATCTCACCACTCAGGTATACACTCCATTATTCACCTCTTCATCCCAAACAACTTGCGCTGGGACATTTTTCAACTTAAATATCTGGATAATCCAACCATGGATTTCTGAATGTGTGTCGGGTCAGACTCTGGACTGATCAGTGGGGAATTTAAGACCAGTTGTGCACAAACAAAAGAAGGATTGCCACAGTACTGTGTATTTTTTGTATTTATTTTGGGTTCTATGTATGTTGTCTTGTATTGTTTACTTTAAATTTGTCTAATACATGGTATTGAAAGCAGTTATTTTGTGTCGTTTTATTGATTACTGACAACGGCTCCAGTAGACGAATTCTAGTCTTCTGATTTTTCTTCGATCTAGTCCTTTTACAGTTTAAATAGTGCTACAGGCGCATCATGGTCCGTGCGGCAACGACAGGTCCTGCAGACAGTGATGATGAGCCGGAGCCCCAAGAGCGAACCCCGCCGAACCAGGACCGGTCACAGCTACTTCCGGCCGACCGAACCGAACTCCAACGGAACCAAGCAGATGCTCCACCGGACCAGAACCAGAACCGGGTAGGAACCACGCCTGCAGAGCGCAGCAGTGCAGCCCAATCGGCTCAGCAGAACCATGGCGCACAGACAGCGCGCATTCCCGGCCGCAACGGCACCCAACCGGCCGAACCGAACAGAACCGCGGCGGAACCAAGCAGGAATCCGACCGGAACCAGAAGCAAAGCCGGGTAAGACCCACACATGCAGGGCAGAAACACAGAGCCCAATCAGCCCAGCAGAACCACCAACGCGGCATACTAAGACCCAGCGCCCACCTCTGGCCACCAGAACCATCCACAGCAACACACGGCCGACAGAACCGAACAGAACCGCAGCAGAATCTGGGGATCCTCTCTTTAAGCAGAAGGTCAGAACGTGGTTTAAGCTGATTAAAGCACAACATCACTTAGAAAATGTGACTAAACATAATGAACTTCCACCGGCCCTGCTTAAAATTAAAAATCATCTGACTGAGGTGATCAAACCCGCTAGCAGTAATAATAACACTAAGACTATTATTGAGGTTAATGCTAAACAGTGGGCTCTCAACACAATCCAGACTCTGAAAAAACACAATCAGGACAGCATTACCGGTTTGAAACAGACACTCTGCACCTTTGGAGGCAATTTAAAGGCCTCATTTATAATAGCCACTAAATGGGCCCGGAGAAATCTGGGAAGATGGCTCAGGGAAAAGACATTAGAGCACAGCAAAAAGGAATTAGGCCTAATGTGGGACACCACACAGAGCCTAGACCCTCAGCTCCTCCTGGAGCTCCTGCTGCAGCCATTAAAGCTTCTGCTTCCACAGGATCCAAGCCTGCTCAGCCCAGCAGGGAGAGGGAGACCACGCAGAGCCCGAGGCCCTCAGATCCTCACTTAGCCCCTGCTGCAGCCATCAAAGCTCCTGCTTCCACAGGATCCAAGCCTGCTCAGCCCAGCAGGGAGAGGGAGACCACGCAGAGCCTGCAAACCCCAACTTCTTCCTCAGCTCCTATCACCACGGCAGCTCCTGCTACATCTGCTAAGGCTTCTGTTTCCACAGCAACGGCTCTGATGGAATCCAGACCTAACCAGCCAGAGAAGGTGTGCACTCGGACGCAGCTGCCTCCTTCAGATGCTGGCTTTCGTTTTAAGCCCTATGTTCCAGCCTCTACTGCACCCCAACCTGCTGCTTTCCGTTTTAAGCCCTATTCTCCCACACCTCAGCAGGGGGAAGTTCTCCATCACCTGCACTTCACACAGCAACCTGAATCCTGTGCAGCTCAATTCTGAGGCTCAGGAGGAAAAACAATTGCCCCATTAGATCTCTCCTGAGAGAGGAAGATGACAGGGACGCAGGGTGATGTTGTTCTGTATTTAAGATTTATTGTGTATTAAGGATGATGATAAAACCTAATTTGGTCCACAGCACAGAGAAGGGAACACATCTGGATCCCCAGACTACAGATGCTGGTGGGCCGTGGCCTCATGGACAGATGGAGGAACAGCCCTGGGGAAAACACCTGTGGTTGGATGCGTGCGCGTGCATCGAGGAGGGGTGGGGGGGAGGTTTGGGGGATCCAGTTCCTTGTTCCCTTGCCTCAGAACCCTCACCCTAACCCAAACATGGGTATGTATGCACCATGGCCTGGGCTCGTGGGTTTTGTGGGTAACTTCTTGTGAGGGACTACTTCTACTCCTGGTAACCTTTATAGAAGCATAGCTCTATTTTCTTATAATTTCCTTTACATAATCCCTGGTAGAAGACCCTTAGATTAACTATAGTCCCCTTACAATTTTCTCTTTGGATGTGATTGGTTACACAACCCTGGCTTTGATACTAGATTAATATTTTTTTGGGATTTGTGATTGGTTACACAACCCTGGCTTTGATACTGGATTAAGATTTTGTTGGATTGGTTACTGATACCAGATATGAGATTGAGATTAGAATATGAACACGCAGCAGGATTTGATCAACCCTGTCTTGGCCTCCCTTGGGTAGAGTGTCTAGTGATAATGGCTGAAACACTCTGTGACCCCAAGGTCCACTACTGAGGATGTGTTCATTAGTTTAGAGGTGTGACTCTTGATGCTGTTTCAGTTCAGAACAGAATAAGGGACAGCTTATGACTTGTTTAGTACAGTTTCATCTCTAGTCCATATCTTGCCCTTTATAAAAACCGAAGTATATATACCTTTAATAGACCTAAAAAATATAGATTTATTAAAGGTTTCCCTCTACCCACCTCCCTTACCTCAGTTTAGAGCTGTAGGGAGTGGAAGAGGCGGAGTTTACATGCCAGACCGGCGGGGGTCGGCTTAGCCCATTCCAGGGCGGCCTACCCTGACTCTGCTTCCTCCATTGATCTAAAATTAATGTTTATCTTCAATTATATACAGCTTCCTCTTCAGCCCATATCTTGTCTATTAATAATAATAAAAACCCAAGTTTGACAAACTAATAATAAAATTTGGTAGGTTTGAAATTATGTCCTAACATGACAACTACCATAATAGATCCTCTTGAATAACATTAATTTTAAACTTTAAATTTTAAACTTTACCTTTTGGGATATAGTCTTAACATGACCAAGATTTATTAACCTAATCTGATATATTTTTAATAAACCAGGTTTATTAACCTAGCATTAATTTTAAACTTTATCTTTTGGGATGTAGTCTTAACATGACCATCTCATTCCAAGGTTTATTAACCTAGCATTAATTTTAAACTTTATCTTTTGGGATATAGTCTTAACATGACCATCTCATTCCAAGGTTTATTAACCTAGACTTAATTTTAAACTTTATCTTTTGGGATGCAGTCTTAACATGACCATCTCATTCCAAGGTTTATTAACCTAGACTTAATTTTAAACTTTATCTTTTGGGATGCAGTCTTAACATGACCATCTCATTCCAAGGTTTATTAACCTAGCATTAAT